GTTTCCCATCAGATATAATACTGGGGGTATACGTGTGCATGTGTATAAAATCATGTTGCAAAAATTCCTTTATTCTACTTTATTGAATTTTTATCCAAGATCAGGATTGGATTTTGTTGTATTTCTTTTTAGAGTCTGCAATTATGATTGTATTTTCATATTGTGTTTCATTTTTAAATATTTAATATTTTCACACTACTAGAAACAGTGTGAAATTGATTCTTGAATATTCTACTCCATAGTAATGTGTTACATTATAATTTTTCTATCCTTCTTAATGGAGAGTATTTTATTTAGAATGAGAGCCTTCTAGATGTTTCTTTGTTTTGTGTTCTCAGCCAGGTAGATATATCAGGAATATGGGCACTCCATAACAATAATTTGAAGATTTTCCTTACTTTTATTGCTTGAGAACACTAGAAATAGCCTTCAAATGATCTTCCACTTAAAGGTTAAGTGTGCTCTGATAGGGAAGGAACTCTTCAATTACTCTTTTCTGTGTGTTTCACAGAAATCAGTATGATTATGTTTTCTATCACCATTTTGCATACTATCCTATAGGATTTAAGTCTTACTTTCATACCATTTTATGAGAAAAGAGATGACCAGTAAGTACTACATATTGAGTGATGCTTTTACACAAATCTTCATTTCATATGTTTCAGTGAGGTCATCTGAAGGACATAAATGCACTGATGTAGACACTGTTGGAGCCAAATTCATATCCCTTCCTGGCTGCTCCATGTGCTGGCTGGGAACAGAAGCCAGCACACTTAGAAGTATGCATTGCTGTTGACTAATTCACATCAAGAACAGAACCTTGGCACTCTTGCCTCAAGAAAAAATAACTACATAACTTTATAATCCATACTTTTCTTCAGATAAGCCTTTGTCTAGACTTCAACAAAAGCTCTTCCTTACCCAACTTCTCCTGCTTTTCTGACTCTTTCAATAATCATTGGCCAAGAATCTCACACATTTCCTCTATTCCCAGGTAGCCTATAACATATAGGCCATCACCTATAATACATTATCTGTACAAAGTATTAATCACAGAATCCATGAGCATTAGAGGTACATTATGTTTTTAATTCCTTGCAATTGCCATTCACCTCACCCAAGAAATCAAAGGTCTCCCGTTGGGAGCCCAACTGTGGAAAGAGGAATGTGATGAACTTCTGAGAAGCAGCAAGGTTAATATCCTAAATGCCATTAATTCAGAGATGAAGATTAACATTCCCAAAATCAGAAGACTTGTTTTTACTTCAGTTCAAGAAGAGGGATATTTATCTGGAAGTATGGTAAGTATAGTCACCACTGACTCCACCATCATAATTTGTATTTTCACACTAGAATCATAGGACAGAAAAGTTCAGGGGAAAAAGCCTACCTTACTTCTAATTAATGAAGTCTCTCTTCCTAATATTTTTTTCATTTGTATTTTTCAATTACTACTGAACTCTATTTTCCAACTTATAAAGTTAATAATGCTAACAAATCACCCTTCGTGGATTCTGAGGGGAAAGTTAATGATACATCTGTCCTCTTCTCTTCCCCAGAATAAGACAGTCAGCCTTGAATTTGGCCATTCTTCATAAAAATATTTCTAGTTTTAATCATCAGTATGCTTTTACTTCTTCCTGTACCTCATCCTCTAATTTCCCAATTCAATTTATTCACTCCTCATACCTTCTCTCTGAGCAACCCCCCAATTTGTCCATTCCTGCTGGGATTTCCCAAGTCCTCACTCATTATACAATGTCCAGACTCTAAATGGTTTCAGCACTTCCCAACTGCTATCCTGTCTCCACCCATCCAGTCCCTCTACACTGCACTCACTTATAGGCAATGTTACTATGCATAAAAATTCTTCAGCAACACCCCACTGTCTTTTGCATAAGATTTAATATCTTCAGGGTGGCATTCAAACCCTCTGTAATCAATTTCCACCTGCCTTTTAAGCCTAACATCCACCATTTTTCTATTTTAAAAAATCTCCTACTGTTACCAAAAGAGCTTCATTGTCCCCCCAAAACAAAACAGGCCTATGCATTTTCCCATCCACATCTTTGACCACTGGGCCATTGTGTTCACTCTGCCTGAAATAGCTTCTCTCTCTCTCTCTCTCTCTCTCTCTCTCTCTCTCTCTCTGTCTCTCTGTCTCTCTCTCTTTCTCTCTGTATGTCTCTCTCTCTCTCTCTGTGTATGTCTCTTTCTCTCTCTCTCCTCTCTTTCTCTCTCTGTCTCTCTCTCTCTGTCTCTCTCTGTCTCTCTGTCTCTCTCTCTCTGTATGTCTCTCTCTCTGTGTATGTCTCTTTCTCTCTCTTTCTCTCTCTCTCTGTCTCTTTCTCTCTCTCTCTCTCTCTCTCTCTCTCTCTCTCTCTCTCTCTCTCGGTTTCTATGTCATTCTGACATTCTGTGCAGCAGTTATGTGATATCATACAATATCTTATTTTACAGACATTTCTGTCTCTACATCATCTCCCTACAATGTATGCTAAAACATAGGACTGTGTCTCAAATAGCTTGTCTCCTGTTACTTAGCATGGTGCTGGCACAGAGGAGGTGGGATTAATGAGAAGCGAATAAGCAAATAATGCATTTCTTGAGCCACATAATTGTACTGAATATGGCACAGTCTGGAGTCAAGCAGAGTTGAGAATTAATGAGGGGTGGAAGAGGAAGCAGATCTATTTTTCTATAGCTCTAATTTCCATGGAATTAAAAGAGGAGAATCAGAACTGGGCCTCAAAAGCAACAGAACCTATTCTCAAAAAGTTTGCTCCTAACTTAGACCGTGTGTACACTAGCTACCTGAATACCAAAACATTTAAAGAATTATTTAAAATGTTTCCATTACTCTAAATACCTGCTTAATGGAACTGGAATCTGCAAAATGTTTTATCCATTGGGTAGTTTCCTCTTTAAGTGTTTTCAACATTCATGTTTCAGTTAAAAAAAATAGCTCCAGAATATTCAGAAAAGTGAATGGGCAACTGACTTGCCCTCCTCCCTGTAGCCTTATCACTAACAAACGATTGTCACCCCCACCTTTGGAAACCCCCAGCTAGGGGGCAGCCCTCTCAGTGAATAGCCAAGCCATAGGAATGGGCAGAAGTTGGTGACTAAGGATGGGGCAGCAGTCACATTTGTTTCGATGTCTTCCTGGGAAGAAAACACAAAGGATTGGTTGTATTCTCATTATGCTTCTATCAAAGTTGTATTAGCCCTGACCTGGTAACTAAACACACCCAGTCATCCAGTTGTTTCCCAAGATCACCAAGAACTTAAATCCTGCAATTGGAAGGAGGAGAGTACAGGGAAAGTATGACCAGGACAAGAAATCATGATCAGCAGGAGAAGCGGGGGGAGGAGGACGGTGGAAGTGAGTGGTTTGTGGCAGCTGTGCAGGGACAGCTTTGCTAGGGAAGTGAGAAGACAGGACAGACAGTATCCTGGCAGCTTGGACTCTCCAGAAGCAGGATAGAAGGCAACATGGCTAACGCTGGGGAATCCCACTTAATTCACATAAGTTTAAGGTCCTCAACTGCCACCAAATGCATAAATGTCTGCTTTCATCCTCCCCTTCCTTCCATTCCTTGTTCTCCCCTCTGGTCCAACTCACAGCTATTTATCATTCCCTCTTCCCCCTCTCTGCTCTCTTATCTTGCAAAGTTGGTAATGGGCTGCGTCTCTCAAAAAATGAGGGAGACACTGCTCTGGTCACTCACTGCTGATGAGACACCTGCCATAAAGGGATCTGCATGGAGAAGTACAATGATAGACACCCCTCCACTGGCCCCAGAATCAGCTTGTGAAATGTGACTCTGGAAAGAGGCATGTCTGAAGATAACACCTCAATATATTTTCACCCCTCTTCAGCCTGAGCATTCCCCCCCCCCATGGCCATTTCCTCATTCAGTAGTGCTCCCAAGGCACCTAAGCCTCCTGAGACATGTTATGTTACCAAATGCTCTCAGGTGTTCCAACCCACTGAGCCTCATGTTCTACAGATTTAGAGAACTGCTGGAGCTGCGAGGCAACCCACACACATGCAGGCACACACATACACAAACACACACACACACACACACACACACACACACACACACACACCATTAGGGCGAGAGAATCAGAAAGACAGGTGACTCCACAGGGTAGGAGTGTACTCTACAGAACAAAAGCGGGATCTGGGAGACTCTCCTGGATTCAGCCACTCACCTGTTCCCAAGTTCCAGGGAGCAGCTACACTCTCCTGTGAGGAGGTGAGGCAGGTGATCAGGGGTGCAGCTGTCTCCCCCATGCCCTGGGCTATGCCTCTGACTGTGGGACAGAGCCTCATCTTAGGAGCTCTCTATTGATTCCCTTTACCTTCTCCTGTTCGCAGCACCATCAGCAAAGATCTCAATAGAGACTCAATTGTGAATTTGGAGGAAGGAGCAGGTGAAAGTCTTTAGGTAGTTAGGGCACATGTGACTAGGAGCCTCTTCTCTTCCCCTTTAGGGTCTCAGAAGGAAACCCTGTAGCTACCCAGATCCCTCCTTCTTCCAGTCAGGTTTGGCTGTGGCTCTGAGTCCCTTCCTTGGTGGCAGATCACCAACCTGTTTCTATTATGCCTATCATTTCCCAAGACTCTCCTATTCGAAAGTGAGGACATATTGACTCCCTATTTCCCATCAGATAAATAAATAATCAGCACCTCAGTTGAGCTACTCAAGGGTGGCCATGCTGACTTGGGTCCTGAGAAGTCAGCAGAGATCTCAGAGTTCTACCCCCCAGCTGTCTTTGGAACACAGCATAAAGCAGTCCATGAGTAAGGCAAGGTCCTGCAGGAGGCACCTTCTATCATTCACACAAACCCTGAGACATACAACACTATGTCATGCATGTCCACCTGGGAAACTTGTGGGGAGTCCTCAAGGTTACCTGTGGTAGGTCTCTCAGTGAAAGAATGGGAGTTCATGAAGTTCGAGCTGTTCTTACCACTCTCTGTCCCTCAGGCTTGGACACCAGGCAAGCACAGGTCATCGTCCTGTCCTCCGGGACCAAGTGCATCAGCGGCGAACACATCAGTGACCAGGGGTTGGTGGTCAACGACTGCCACGCAGAAATCGTGGCCCGGCGGGCATTTCTCCACTTCCTCTATGCACAGCTGGAGCTGCATCTGAGGTAAAGGGGCCCATCCTTGCTAGACAGACCTCCACTGGAGAACAGCCAGGGAGCAGAAGGGGGACACAACCAGTCCAGACACATCAATGCCTTTATCGTGGCCAGTTTCCTACAGAGGGTGAGCAGTTACCCGCCATGAAGCATCCGTCTTTATCCAGACTTGAGATATCTTTCACATACCACACAGGCCAATACAATGTTAAACATCAGGAGTCTTCCTCATTATCCCACACTTCTCACCAAGACATACCCTGTTAGCCTGTGAGTTACATACACACATACCTCCACACAGGTGCCCATATACAGGAATGCACATGGGGAAACATCCTGTCACAGTTCATTTGATTTTTTTCCTATTAAAACATTGACAAATAGCTATAGCATCTCACAAGTCAAAATTTCCTTACTGAGGCTCAGATGCATCTAGAGTCAAGCAAATCACTAGACAGCTGTTCCTTGACTTTGTATACTCTAAGTCCAAATATTAATGGGACAAAGATAGGATCCAGCTCTAAGATCAGCTAATGGAGTACAGAGGTATTCCTCAAAAGGAACAGCAACACAGATCTGGCCTCAACTTTGTCTCTTTAAACTGTAAGTTTCAATGAAGGCATTTCTCTTCCCATCACCAGTCCCTAGTTATTACACCTAGAACTAGCCATGTGTAGGTAGGCAGGTAAGAAGAAAGGAAAAGAAAGAGAGGAATAGAGGAGGTAAGTATGGCGAAAAGAAAACAGAGAGACACAGAAATAGAAGAATGAATTCCTTGTCTCTTGGGAATGAAAGTCATTGCTCTCTCTGAATGCCATAACTGCACTGATTGAACTGAACGTGTGACGTGGCATGGATCAATATACCTGCTCCCTATTCTGTGTAAACTTCAAGCCATGGAAAGGTGCCACATTGAAGTTGACATCTGTGCTAAATTTTGACAAAACTGTCTCCATTTCAAGCAGTATCCATGGTGCAATATTTGTGCAGAAGTACCTCCTTCCTCCCTTGTCAGCCTTGTTTTAAGGATTTCTCAGTCAAGCAAACCTTATGAGAGCTCAGAATTTTCACAAGACTTGCCAATACCATCTCTTAAAGGCTCAGAGATGGGCTACCATTATATTTCCTGTCCCCAGGCCTTGTCCCTGAGGAGACAGGCTATTTCTCCTGAACAAGTCTCATGGAAGCATCTCTCACTAAGAAGTGTGATTGCAATACACAGTGCATATTTACATTTTTTTATCTTTTTTTTTTTTTTTGTCTTTTTCGTTTTTATCAGTACCGGGGATCGAACTCATGGCTGCCTGCTTGCAAGGCAGGCACTTATGCCGCTGAGCTAAATCCCCAGCCCCTCATATTTACATTTTTTATATGTATTTCAGTAAAAGACACATTGCCATTAATCCCCCTGCAAAACACTCCCTCTTGATTCTAACATAGTTATCTCATTTTTCTTGTCCTTTTCTGAAGCAATTCTGGAAGTCACTTTTCATGAGTGTCTTTATGAGGTGTGGTTTTACATATACACACACACACACACACACACGCACACACACATGCACACACACACACGGCAAATGCTGCTGTTGAATGTCATCTAATTGAAAGGTAGGCTTGTAAAACATTATGGTGTGTACTGATTTACCTTTGTATCACATCTGGAAGCAGGTCGCTTCCAGCTCTTCCCCAAAGTCAAAGTGGTCATGAAAGGTAAACATTTTAAATTGATTCAGGACATCCAGGCAGCTATGACAACACAACTAGTGACAGTCATGAAAGAAGATTTCCAGAACTACATCATAAAGTGGCAAGAACAATGGGATAAGTATGTTCAGAATGAGAAGTATTTTGGGGGAGATTAATGACAATGTGTCCTTTATTGCATTATGTTTTTTTAAAAAAAATTAAATATTTACCATATTTTTCAATCATATTGCATACAACATAATTGTACACCATACTTTCTAGTCCTCCTGGGTAAGTCCATCCTCCCTGCTCACATTCTCAATATGTTCCGTTTTCTAGACCTAGTTCTCAGGAAATGTGCCCCCAAAAGGCTATTAATAGATTTTGAGATGGGACCTGTTTCTGGGCTCCATCTCCAAGGACATCTTGATAAGGATTCTCTACACTAAAGAAGCCAATCAGACCCTAAGTCATGAGCTCCAGTGTTGAAATTGCCAGCATCCATGGCAGCTTGTCCTTACCATGAAAGCAGACTGCCTCCTGGGCTGGTATCTCTTTCTAAGACACCTTAAACAGAAACAGAAATGCGGGCAGACTTGAGCATATGACACCTCTAATGCATTCTTAGGCTGAGCTATTTAGTCACAATGGTTTGATTCCTGTATCTTCATCAGAATGTCCCTTCCTGCCTTGTATAGCTGCCCTGTGCAGCAGTGCCCTCAAATCCACTAATAACAGGATCTCAGGGGGCTTTTAGTGAATGGCTCGTTCATGCCCATTAGATATGCAGGAGTCACACAAAGGAAGAAAAGCCCAAGTAAATGGCAAACAGACTCGAATAAAAGCAATACCTTAATACACTCAATTAATTTTTATCTGAGCTTTGAGCAGTGAATAGCAGCCTGAGATATTGCCGCATTCATTCACGAGGCCTGCCCAGAGGTCGGCCAGACTTAGAAATCTCACCAAATGAGAGAAGAAAGATTTCTCCTGAATGTCCAGCCGCTCCATTGGAAATATTTCCAAGCACTCCTACATCCTGCTTGTGTTACAGAGGCAACTGAGCAAGCATTTATCAAGAGCTGGCTGTGTGCTGGGTTCTGTGCTGCCAGCTTGGGGGAGGGAGGTGTTCAAAGACAACTGCACCCTGATCCCCGCCCCACACAGGGGCACAGGTTACTACCCTCTGCAACAGAATGCCAGTTAGCTCCTGGGAGTCTCCACAGTCTTCCAGGGCATTCCTTGGGCAGACAGAGGGTGGATGGCACCCAAAAAGCAAAGGCTCAAAAGCAAGAAGACTGGTTGTCAACCTCAGGGTTTCCCGGGGAGAAAAATGTGTGTTCCGCTGACTGTGAGGTCTCAGGGTCAGTGAAACAGAGTCCATCAGCAATGGGGCAGAATGAGTGAAAACAGCGAGGGTGACAGAAAGCAGACTGCGGGAAACCAGGGCACGCCAACTCTGGGAAAGGATCAAGAGCCACAGATACCCCTGTAGCACCCTTCCATACCCCTGCAGCATTTCCCCTCCTTGTCCAAGCCGGGGCTCTCAAGTCTGAGTTTAGGAGGCTGCAGAGGGGGATTTTTAGAAGCAAAAGGCACAGATCCTGCAAGCTTTGAAGGAGACTTGATTTCTTCTTGATCTATCCTAGATAAGGGTTGCTACACCCACCTACCCACGCAGGTGACCAAGCTGAGCGATTCCCTCCCGCATGCACCTAACCACCCACCTGTGCTTTTTTTTTTTTTTTTTTTTTGAGAAGGGGTCAAAGTTGCAATCCTCTGACCTAAGCTTCCCAGAGTGCTGGAACCACAGGAATGTGCCACTACACCTGGATCCAGCCACCCTGTTAAGACCCCTTTTCTCTTGCTGATGCACATAAACACATTGGTAGCCAACACTGTGTCACATCAATAGTCCACTGAAATATACTGCCATGCGGAGTGTTTGCAAATCCACAGGATTACAGCTTTGTAAATTGTAGCTACAGGCTCTGTAAAAGATAAGCTTGAAATGTAAATGTGAGGGTAGAGTGAACAGTGCAGGATTTCTGCCGTGTGTGTTTGCTTTCATGGATTTCATTGCAGCCCATTGCTGAAGCATTCATGAAGGGGCAAACCCAGAACAGACTGTAAAGAAGGGGAAAATTGGGAAATAATTCCACAAAGCAAGACAAACACATTCACCTGGTTGAAATCCTTCTGGCTGAGTTTGTAATAAATGACCCAGATCCTCTTTATGACCCTAGCAAGCGACGAGAAGACTCAGAGCGATCAATATTTGTACGTTTAAAGGAAGGAGGCTACAGACTTCGAGAAAACATCCTCTTCCATCTCTATGTAAGCACATCACCCTGTGGAGACGCAAGACTCAACTCCCCGTACGAGATCACCACGGACTGTAAGAAACAGCACTTTTTTTTTTTTCTTTTGTAATTAACAAACAATGCCAAGCTCCCCTTTATCCCTCTAGATCCCATTCTGGGCTACCTTGGCCCGGAAGACTTGTTTGCAGGTGGCTATGGCTCTAAGATGCTAGAAGTATATCACAATTAACTAGATAATCATAGCTCCAAAATCATAGTCCGCAGTGCCCAGATCATTGGTAGAAAAGTAGTTTGAGGTCTAAAATTAGCTACTTAATTGCCATAATCCTCTGCTTCATTTTAATAGGTCAGATAGTCCCTCCATCCCAGGCTGGAAAATGGAATGAATATGGCAAATGAGAATTACATGGAGTGCTAGCAACTTCAAACTGGCTCTGTTTGTCTTTATCTGCAACTTTGGGGAGAATAAAGCTCAGCTTTTGTAACAAATTCAGCTTTGACAAATGACCAGCAAAAATGCTGTCCATTACTGAACACTTGAGCAGGACCTGCTCTACTTATGTCACTTAGTAGAATCCAAGAGAAAGCACCAAGATGCCCCGCCACCCCACCCAGTCATCCCCATCAGCAGAGTGGCCACACTGTGTTCCAGAGTTACAGACCAGAAGGCCACACTTTGATGTCGATGATAACAGTGTCTCCATGACAAGAGTCAAAGGCATGGCTTCACTCCTTTCTTTAAACCTTGTTATGGAATTCTATTATTGGTGCTACTTGCATATGTTTTGCACTTATATGTGTGCATGTATGCATTTATATACCACACACACACATTCACTCATACTCTCTCCCAAACTCATTCTAGAAAGACCCTAGGAAAATATTCCTACAAAGGCAATGAAAGTAAATATATGTACAGTGGTACCTCAGCTCACAAACTTAATTCTTTCCATGATCCTGATTGCAACCTTAATTCGATGAGAACCAAATGAAATTTCCCCATCAGGTCAGCATTGAATCTAACCATTGAATTTGTTTTGGTTCTTATCCAATTCAGTTTTCAACCAGAATTGTGGGAAGAATTAAGTTCATGAACCAACGTATCAATGTTTATGTATTTCTACTACCTAGACATAGTCACAGTCAAATTTTGTGGTTTTGGTTCCAGTTAAAAAACTATATAAAAAATATTTCACCAAAAAATACAATAAGTATGTGGTCCTAATAAAGGTAGTAAAACATTGAAAAGTTCATTTTATGCTCATGAAATCTCCAGTAGAAAAGCAATGGACTATGTACAGTTATTTAAAGGGTTGGTTTGACCTCTGACTCCTCATGTGGAAAACTACATTTGTGTATGAATGATGAAAGTCAGGAAAAAGGAATATCTATCGAATGCATTGTGTTCCAGGCTTCTCATGAATACTTCCATCAAAAATAAAGAAGATACAGGGAGGGTATAATAGTGTTCTTAACCCTATTGCGCTGACCCTGAAATTGGTTGCTGGACCAGAGAAATTCCTTCTCCTTTCACACACAGAGTTTCTATCTCTATAAGGGAAATCTTTTTACATCGCTTGAAAAGCAAACTGGAAAATCAAGTCAAAATAAGAATTTAGAAAAGAGAACTGTCTTAGTATCTTTTCTCTTGTTGCTGAGACAAACTACCCAACACCCAAAGTTAAAGGAGAAAAGGTTTATTTGACTGACAATTTGTAAACGTCTCACTCCGTAATAGACTGGCTTCAAGGCTGGGTGGTTTGGCAGGGGAGCACCACAAAGGAGAACAGTCCACAGCACCCACAAGATAGCAAAAGAAACAAGAGAGGAACCAGTTCATGGAGGCCAGAAGATAGCAAAGCACCAAGGGGGCTTAACAGCATCTCTCCACCCCTTAAACTTTATCTAGATTGCTGGGATTAGGGCAGCACCAGACCCATTCAGTGGTCTGATTAGTCATCACACACTTTTAATCCCAGCATTACACACTCTAGATGCAGTCACGTCTGAAAAAGTCCTATGACTGCATGAGGCTTTAGGGGGACATCCAGACACAAACCATAACAGGAATTAATTAACTAAACTGTCCTCAGGATAGTGAAAGGGTGGCCTGGGCAATATGAGAAGCACATAATCCCTATGCAGGCCTTGGTGAAACCACAGAGGCTATCCATTTACTACTAGAAAGAAAATCAAAACAGCACTGATGCATTTTCCATGGAAACATCAGCCTGGAGCTATATGATACAATCTTTCCTTATGTAATGGTGAAATCTGATCCATTTACTAATAGACAGCTACTAGGAATTAGCTCTCTGTCTTTTCTTGGAAGGTTTGGTATCTTGAAGCTCAGCCAAGGGACCCTCACACTGTGGAAAGAAAAGTCTTCTGAGACATTTAGGACTAGACCTACTTTATCCAGCTTCCTCCTTGGCCCATGTGTCCCCAGCAGGAGTCAGGAAAGGGCTGAGTGAGGACAGCAAGAAGCTTGGCCGTGGCTTAGACTTCCTGGTCTCCCCTGGGGATAGTTTCGGTCCATCAAGCTTCCCTCGTCTCTGTACATCAAGCACCAACTGTGGCCTCACCAGCTCTCTGAGTTCTAACTTGCAATGTTGGCAGTTTAGAAAAACAAACAGATACATTCTCACAGGCACCCTGGGGTTCACTTCCAGGCACAGATGTCTTTTATTTCATGGTGCTTTTAAGGAGAGGCAGGTGCTGGTAGGAGAAAAAATAAAGCATTTTCCTCCCATTTTGCAATAGATATGTCAGGCAAAAAAGGAGATGCTGTTCCCTGAGTTATGCCTCTGAATTAGGACTGATATCTCCCCAGCTCTTCCTACCTGGGGAGCAGGGAAAAGTCAACCACTCAGTGAGCTTGTAAAGTGGACTCAGTCAGCCAAAAGCTACTCTGCTTCCCCCCTATTCACTCAGCGAGGACAAGTAATTCAGATGCCTGGTGTCTCTGCTTGGAAGGAGCCTTCAGAGAGACTGCTCAGCATCCCTCACAGCTTCTGAGAGAGGAAAACACTCTCAGGAGCAAACCCTGCAATCTCAGACTTAGAGAAATTCCCTAAGCTCCACTTTGCAAAAAGAGAGCAGGAAGCACTCTGTTACTAGAGTAGTGTTCTTTCTTGCTATTTTTTAAGGAGGGCTGAACTGCTTGATAAGGGATTGTGAGTGACAAGGTCTTTGATCTGATGAGCTCCTGCTAGGGTCAGCTGTGGTGACAAGCCCCTGCAGGAAGGCTTGCTAGAAAAACAAATACCAGTAAGAGCTACACATGCCTTCTGCAAACCACACCATCTACCCCCCACTGCACCCCAGAATGTTGAATCTTTAAAAGGCCCAGACTCATGTTACCTCCAGACCAAGAATCCATGCTCCTAAGTGAAGTCCCAGGGACCATGTTTCCTAGACCAGCTGTCCCCCACAGGTCACTGTCATATCATTATGCTCACAAATGCAGAGACTGCAGGGCACAGATTTGCTCAGTGCCTGCTACTGAAATCTTCGCTGGGAATATATGGAGCTCATCCTAAACTAAAGGAAACTGGACTCGTGTTCTCTACATTCCTGGGCTTCTCATTCTCTCCAGCACTGTGCCTGGCTAAGACTGCAGCTCTTTTTTCTGACTCTCAATTTGTCTGCATGAGCCACTATGAACTCCACTTGGGGCCTACAGCATACTTAACTCCATCAACCTTCCACTGTGCTAGAATCCTCTCTCCCTCTGTCTCTCTCTGTCCCTCTGTATCTCCCCCCCCCACTTCCTCCCTCTTTCTCCCTTCCCCCTTCTTTCTATCTCATGAATATACATTCACATGCACATAAACATACATGCACAAACACATCTATGTATATGAGCACATATGCACACACACATGCATTAGTATATATCCACACACTCAGTGCCTCAAAATCTATAAACACAACTCATATATGTTCAAGTTTAGAAACTTGAACACATGGCCTAGACTGTGCCTATTCCTTTCAAAGAATGAACAGGAAATGGGCTATACTAAGAAAATTTTCTAGAAATCTCAGTCATTCAAATACCAAATAATCAGGAGGCCAAAAAAGAACAGAGCCTGACTTGAAATTTCTAGGAACATATTTCCAACTCCCTACCAGCTCTAGAGTCACTGCTTTCCACCAGGGACTTCTCTGGCCAAGCAGCTGTTGTCCAGGCTGAGTCTTCATGAGTTCCCTGAGCCCTTGTGGATTGAAGTCAGCTAGACTCCCTGAGGCTCAGAGTCAGGGGCTCTAAGTATTAAGAGATGACATGGACACTGATGTGGTCATCATGTCCAACTTACCTTCACTGGCTATTGTTAGAAAAAGTCTAAATTCTGAGTTTCATTATTTTCTACCAAAACATTTATCCAAGTCATTCATGGAGGCTTTGATATGGTATCAGTGCCAATTGGCTCATGATACTTAGGGAAATATGTTGCCTGTAAGTTTAGGAATTAGATTGGATTGTTTCTAAACCTGGTTTATCTCTCAGGGTCACCTAAGAAACTTTTAAAAATTCATGTTTCTACCATATGCTATTTGTCTGAGATGCTGCTGCATAGGGGTAGAGAGAAGCTCACATATCTGCAGTTTTCTGAGCATCAGTCATATTTCAAGTCACTAGATTTGAATTCCCTTAAATTATCTCCTGTCCAAATTGGGCATTTATTTTTTGCCGGCTTAGTGGAGGGTCTTTGAAGAGAGGGTGATCCAGCAGAGTACTTGCATAAGGCCAGACAGAGCCAGGCAGGAGGGACTGACCTGTCACCAAGTGGGCAGGTGAGAAGGCTTTTACCTATGCATTGCATGCGTTGTGAAGGAAAGGTTGCTTTCGTGACATCCTCTGCAGACTGAGGTCTTTCATTTCACACAGCCCAGAGCTCGTCTGTCCATCTCGGCTCCAAAATGCTAAACCATGTGACTTCCTCCCTCCATGGGCCAAGGTTAGTCAAGGGGGCACAAATGGCTAAAAGGCATTTCTTTACTCAGCTATGAAAGGACACTGTTTCTAGGTCAGAGTTGGAATTTTGACAACTGTCCTTGAGCAGCTTAAAAG